TAATATTATTTTAATTATATATATATATATATATATTAATTTTTTTTTACCAAATTTTAGTCTTAAAAATATTATCAAAATTTCATTTACATTATTATTTTGATATGGATGCAAATGTTACCACATTTTTTTTAAATACACATTTTCCTCTCGTAATAAATTATAAGTATAAAAAATGAATTATATTAATTAAAAAAACTAATCACTATCATTTATTCTACTAATGTTATTTAAAAACATATATTTTTTTTCTTTAAATACCTTTCATTGAAACTTAGTACCAATAATAAAAGCTCTCATATAGAAATTATTTTATTTTAACTTTTCTTCCTATTTTATTTTTCTTTAAGTGATTTTGAAATAATTTAACTAAACAAAATTTATATTAAAAGTGTGTTTAACAATACATTGGACGAACTTATAAGTTAGTATAAACAAAATAAATTTGTTTAATATGTGAAATTTTTCTGATACATTTCAACTTAGTTTCATGGTTACTTCAAAAAATAAATTAACTTACAAGGTACTAATATTTTTTTAGTTCATTAATTATTTGAAATTCTATTTTACTACTAAATATGCCATTTTATGTTATTATTTATTAATTATTTTTATTAAACATTTTCAATTCAATCAATTATATCTTATAAAATTTTAACTTTTAACTTCTTACTTATAGTTTTTGAGCTTCAACTAGCTTATTAGCTTTTATCAACCTATACATTAGTTTTACCAAACACAAGTTTTGAATCTTAATGAGAATTTTTTAGATTTGCCATTTGTTTGGGTTACAGTTTAAATGTACAAACAAATGTTTCAACATTTCCCCCCTAAGTTCTTCGCGGGGAGCTATTCTGTTTCAAATAATATTAAACATTAAAAGTAAAAGTTTCTTCTAATAGAAACTTGAATCGTGATTTTTCTACTATATAGATTAACAGCCTCCACTAAATTCCTTCTTCATTAGCCAATGAAAATCTTGCTACATTCTCTAAGAAAAATAAATTATAAGTAACTAAAACGTAACTAACATATGGTTAATAGTTAGAAGAAAATAATGAGTTTCTTTTTGTATATATAATAATGTATGAGCTTGTTATTACATAGATAATACTAATAAATAATACAGAACAGAATAAACTATAAAGCATAAAAAAGTAGTATATTTTCTTTCAATTAAAAAGATAAAACTTAAAAAAAAAAATAATAAGACAGAGTTTTCTTCCTTTTCTTTATTTATTTTTTTTCAAACATGCAAACCCTACCAACATGCCATTCTAAGATCAACCTAGAAGAGTTAAAATTCTAAAAAATTGACACAAGCAATATAAAAATTGAAATCCGAAGAGAAAGTGCAATTTTTTCCCCACTGACAACCAAATCCTGGAATTTAAAATCCTGGACACGAATCCATAACATGATTCGACCTCAAAATAGGAAGAAACAGAATTTGAAGGCTCTTGACTCAAATTCTTAAACAAGGGACACAGAACAAGAGAATAAGAGAAGAGACGAAGCAACAACGAAGCCTAACCAAACCAAACCAGTACTAACCAATGAGTAGAAGAAAAAAATAAAAAAATAAAAAATAAAAAACCGGTAAAAGAAAGAGTCATAGTGAAGCACAGGTCAGATTGTTCTATTCCTTGTATCCTCTGACGCTCGCGCCTCACCGCACTCTCCCGCGGATCCACCGTACGCGGAGGATACCACCGCACCAGATCTCTCTCTCTCTTTCTCTCGACGCTTCTCAGTTCTCACCATGAACGATTTCGATGGTCTTTTAACCACCGATTTCGGGTTCAAACCCCAAGGCAAATCGGCGCCAATGGCCGCATCAAAAGCCTCATCCAAAACTTCCTCTCTCAACTTCGATTTAGGTTCCCGATCCACTCGCGCCTCCAATTCCTTCGCCGCCGCGGATTCCTTCGACGATCTCTTCGCCGCCCGCGCCAAACCGGACGCCTCCGTCAACTTGGACTCCGTCTTCCGCGACTCCAACGATTTCCGGTCCAAGTCCGTCAGCTCGGCGGCGTACGACAAACCTGTCTACGACGACGACATTTTCGACGGCGTTCCCGGCCTCAAGAGCTCCTCCAGTGTCTCCTACGACAACGTTTTCGCTCCGGGAGGGAGCGCCGCCTCGTTCGACGATCTTCTCGGCGGGTTAGGTAAATCGAAGAAGCCGGAGAAGGAGGAGAAAGGTGTCGCGGATTTTGACGACTTGATCCCTGGATTCGGGAGCCGTAAGGCCTCCACTGATAGGTACGGTTACGTGCGTGCAATCGATGAATTGCGTTTTAGTGTGTGTATCCTTTTATCGTGACATGCATACGAGCTAGTGAATGTTGTGTTTGTGTAGTGAGAGCTGAGGTTTATTGATCTGTGGGAGAAGCTATTTGTGTGTTTAAAGAGTGTGGGGAACTGCGAGATTCTGAGTATGAAATTAGTGAGGAGTGCTAAAAGTTTGTTATGCTCATGTTTGGATTAAGCTTCTATATAAGCATTTAGAAGAGAAGAAAGTAAAAAGGTAAAATGAATTGAACTTCTCTGGTAAGTTAAACTCAACTTATCTGCCTAAGATAGATTAGAGAACTTCTGTAAAGGATAGGTGTATAAATTGATTTTAACTTATGAGAGAAGTTCAATTCATTCTATAAGTGCTTGTGGAAAATTTCTGCCAAACAGAATCTACCTATAAAATAGATGGACCACTCAAATAAAATACCGGAAAAACTACAGGGAGTTTCAATTCTACCTTGTGTGTTCGAGTGTAAATTGCACAAAGTTATATCAGTATGTTCCATTGAAGGGTTTAATAACCTTTTGCAAAATATTGGTTATTAGTTCCATTAGTGTGAATCAAGTCATTGTTGAATAATAGTAATGGTCTGAGGATTGTGTTTAAACTTGCGTGATGAAACCAGATCACTGGCACTGATCTCTCTGAAACTTTGGATTGTCTTTGATGTATCTATGGAATATCATCTATTGTGACTTTTCATCCGCCCTTGTTTAGAATTCTTCTATAATATATGCTCCTTGCCCTTGACTATAGAAGTTCACTGCCCACGATATACTAAATAAATATACTAGGAAGAATTATTTGCTTGCTGGTCATCAACTCATCATCGTAAATAAACAAAGAATCATAATTCACAAGGCTATCAGTATCGTGCATGTTGCTGTCTGGGTGGTTTTTGTGAATGCCTGAAATTGATCTTAGTTGTCAAAACTTGAGGTAGCTATTCTGGAGTATGCCTATATTAGAGGATTGATTTGGAGGGGAACGGGAATTTTTTTGTGAATGTCTGTTTGACAATGAATATTCAAGTGCATTGTTGCTAGGAGCTCACTATTATAGGTTTTGCATTAATTCTCTTTCAGTAACTTATCGTCTTGTGATTATATTTGTTAAAGTAGAGACTTGAATGAAGCTCAAATGAGTTTGGAAAAGGTAGAAGATGCAGCAACGCTTTTATTTACTTTTTTTGATTATTGTACCCAGGTTACTTGGGTTTTGCTACCTACACAAATTTGAAGTAAGCAATGTCTTTAAGAATTTCTTCTTGATTATTAAAGTCAATTTGGTGTGTCCATGAAAAAACTTAAGTTATAAAATGGTAAGAAATATTTTAATCAAGTCATTACTTTTTCTTTTTTTTTTTTTGCCAAAAAGAGGGCAAAATTCACGAGTCTTCCTGTGTCCAAATACTGCAACAGAATGAAATTGTTGAAAGAAAAATAGCCATCCTCCTTCCAAGATATTCTTTGGATCTCAGGAAGTCACCTTTTATATGGAACAAAATTATTTCACTCAATCTTATCTTTGGGAGGAAAGTCTTGGGGACAACAAGGAAATTCATTTTAAAACACTTGTCCTTCCCATTCTTGAGTTAAATTTGCATCATCTTAAACATAAACCTGAACAAGAAGCATTGAGTCAATGAATTTGACAAGGATGCATCAACCAAAATTGAAAACGATACAAAGTTTGGAATAATTTGGTTTACACCACATGATTAAAGGTCATTCCTGCATTGACATATGTTCAAGAGGCAATCCAACTCCTTTAGATCAGCTAACAAACACCGATTTTCTAATTTTACAATGTAATCTCTCTGATTTCCCAAATGAGATCAAAACTTGGTGATAACCTTTATCTTCCAATTGCATTTAGTAGATGAACCAGAAATTGCACTGAAAAACCACTATCTTCTCTCAAATTATCTCTTGTTTCACAAATTTTCTCCAACCCATAAAACCTTTCTTGCAAAGTGTAACTCTATCTTTATTCCCACTAATATTTTTGATGTATTATCTAATAAAAAATGGAAGCGTGGATAAATAAATGGAGGCATTGGAAAATAACAAAACATGGGAGTTGATTTCTTTGTCAAAAGGAAAGAAGTTAATTGATTGTAAATGGGTATATATAGTAAAATATAAAGCCAATGGATCGATTGAGAGGTACAGTGTTTAGGTGGGTTGTGAAGGGTTTTCATTTAAACCTATGGGATGAATTACTTAGAGACTTTTACTCCAGTTGTAAAGATGAATACAATTCTTGTAATATTATCTCCTGTTGCAAATTATGATTGGGAATTACAAAAAATTAATGTGAAGATGCTTTCTTACATGGGGAGCTTTAGGAGGAAATCTAGATGGAGTTCCTGTTGAGATATGAAGCTGTTGTCAGTTTTGTTGGTAGTTTGAAAAAAGTTGATATGGGTTGAAACAATCTTCCTGAGGATGAGTTGAGAGATTTATCACGGTCATGATAGCCTTAGGATACAAACAAAGCCAAGGAGACAAGACTTATTCATCAGGCACTCGACAACAGTAGATGGACTGTATTGTTAGTGTATTTAGATGAAAATTTTGCTACTGTTGATGATTTGAAGGAACAGATCTTGAGTCAACATCTAGCAAAGGAGTTTGAGGTAAAAACTCTTGGGATGTTGAAATACTTTCTGGGAATTGGAGTGTCCCACTTAAAGAAAAGTATTTCATATCTTCACAAGAATATGTCAAAATTTGCTCAAGGAGGCAGGGCAGGTAAGACAACTTGTAAACTTGAATGTACCCTATGGATTCAACCCTTAAATTGGGTAGCGAAGATGATAGAGCAACAGTGGATAAGGAGATATATCAATATTTGGTTGGAAAACTAATTAACCTATATTACACAAGGCTATATATTGCATTCAATGCAAGTTTGGTTGGACAATTTTGATGCATTGTCCTAGAGAAGTCTTTGCAATAACTTAGAAATATGAATACAATTCTTGTAGCTTACATTGGTGTTGACGAAGGAAGTTACACTAAGGAAATGAAAGGACAACATTATAATTATATCTCTTGGTTGAAGTGTTACTGCAATATTGTCTATTAGATTTGAAAAGCTTCAACACATAGCATTTTGATTGGTTGGAGTTTTTTTTTCCTAAGACATGAATCACATCATTTCAGGAAACGATGTCTCTTCCTTTTCTTCGTGGATTTTCATTAACTCTCCTCATGGTTTATAGGAGTGAGTACATCTAATTCAAAGTTAGTGATATCATCTATTGGAATATCTTCATTGGTAGTGTTGATGTTATCCCTCTCTTCGACGACAACAATATTAGTGCATTGGCTGATAACCACATTAGTAGGTTGGTTGGTAATTACATCGATATATTGACAATTTTTATGGGTTCATTGTGACACCCTTACTACCCCAACACATATATTGTAATAATGTAAATAAACTAAGGAAATAAAATTTTCAACATTGGTAAAAGGGTTCACATAAAAGCCTTCATAAATGTTCTTCAATATCCAAAATAATTGAAAATAAAAATTGGAAAATAAAACATAAGAGTTTACAAATTATTTTTAAAATAATAAGTACAACTCCAACTACATACAAAAAATCCATGTCCTAGAAATCTTTTGCCCCGATGTCACAATATCAGAGCACACCCACAATTCAACTGTTGGCATTCTAGATGTCACTCAAAGCTAGATCTTCCTCACCTAAAACATCCACAAATTGTATGGTGAGAAAAGAAAACATTTATATGTAAAGCACACAAGGAAAATCCGCAACATAATGTCATCATAACTCATTACTTAATGAAATATTCACAACCATTTCTATATATCCTAATTCTATCAATCATGCATCATCTTCACATCACAATTCACAATCACACCAATCCATCACATCATATAATATGTACTATGTTAAGCTCACGCCACCCCTATAGCATCTCGTGCCCAAGGTCGTGGCACACCAACATAAATTCTAATTACCACACATAAATCTTGCAATTAACATTATGTCAAGGACACGCAATTCCTGTAGCATCTCTTGCCCAAGGTCGTGCCATCCCTGACATAAGTGTGAGGAACCACAATCACATTTCATTCATAATCATCACAAATCTTGCAATTAACATTATGCCAAGGTCACGCCACCCTTGTAGCATCTCTTGCCCAAGGTCGTGCCACCCCTGACATAAGTGTTAATTAGCTCACACATCCCACACTATGCCAAGGTCACGCCACCTCTGTAGCATTTCTTGCTCAAGGTCGTGCCACTCCTAACATAAGTGTGAGGAACCACAATCATATCGCATTCATATTCCACACAACATCTCATTTCATGTCAACATACTCACATCATAATTAATTGAACAATTAAGTCATAACATACCATTCGCCACATCATGTTATCAATTCATTGCTAAAATGGTAGATATAATGTATACAATTGTGCCAAGACATCACACCACATTCCATAACTCAATTCCATATCACATACACAAAATAGATAAGTCCACACAAAATAGTGGTTCACATACCCCTCAAGCAATTCACCATGAATCCACATCTAGATCATCAATTTTTACTAAATAATATAACAATAACATTTATAAATTAATATAAAACTTGATTGAATCACCAATTTAATAGAATCTTAACTCAAATAGTAAAACCCCCAATTTTTCCAAAACCTAACTCACAGGCACTTTTCTAAAATTTCATTCTCTCTCCCAAATAATCATTTTTACAAATTGTTTACATATTCCTAATCTTCAATACATGAAAAATCTAATGGGATCATTGATTCCTCAAACCTTAAACGGGCCGGACCGGTCCGTATACCCACCCCTAGTGTTGACTATGCAGGGTCAGTAATTGATAGGAGATCTACTATTATATATTGTTGGAGAAATCTTGATAACTTGGAGAAGTAAAGATCAGAATGTTGTAACCTGATCTAGTGTTGGACTTGAGATTCAAGCTATAGCACAAGGTAGTTTTGGATTACTTGGTTGAAAATTATCTTAGAAGACATGGAGATTAAATGGGATGGACCTATGAAGCCCTACTGTGATAAAAAATCATCAATCAACTTAACTCATGATTTTGTTCTGCATGATTGTACGGAACACATTGAACTGGGTAGGCATTTTGTCAAGAAAATGCTTGATTGTGGTTTTATTTGTACTTCATATGTACCTTCACAAGGTCAACTTGCATATTCTTATAAAAGGATTATGCAGTCCAATTTTTTTAAGGAATTATATGCAAGCTGGGAATGGAAAACATCTATTCTCCAACTTAAGGGGAAGTTTGGAAATAGAAGTGTATAATGATTATTACTCTGCCAAAGTAGCTTAGTTATTGTGTTTAGGTGTGTTCAATGTTTCTCATGAAATACTGATATTTTAATTTTTCTCTTGAAAATAGTAGTTATTTATTATATTTTTAATAATAATAATAATAATTATTATTATTACTATTATTATTATTATAAATAGATCATTAATAAGTTTCCTTTGCTGTGCATTTTTATCTTGGAAGTGAATCCATCATTTTTATCTTGGTTGATGATGGGAGGACCGAGTCTATGCAAGAGTGAAGATAGGTTTTATGACTTTGTTGTTGCCTAACATCTCATTTGGTGAAATAGAACCGAAGAGAATGAAATAATAGAATGGACAATCCAATCCCTTATTTTCACATATACTTGATGCATAGTAATTGTTTTTGCATATTGTTTTATTCACAGGACCATTCCTGATATTGATTTGTCATCAGAACCTACTGTCAATGCTTCTAAAAATGCCTCCAGTGCAGAAGATCCTTTCAAAGTCTTTGAATCAACTTCAGTCCCAATGGATTCATCCTCGAGCTACTTTACAGATCCATTGGAAGAAATGAGTAATTTTACAAGTTCTAGAAGCACAAAAAAAGATAGCATTTCAAATTCTAATGGTGTAGTATATGATGATATTGATCCTTTTGGTGGACTTGGAAATTCAGTTCCTGCATTCTCAGCAGAGAGAAATAGCATGAAGGATAGCAGCTCCCCAACACCAACGTCAAATACAAGGTCAAGCTGGACAAGAGATGAAGAATCAAATGAAAAATCATCTGTGAGGAGTCCTGAGAGACGAACACAAAGCAAGATTCCTGTCGATCATGATCAGGAATTTCAGCAGGCTGCATTTGACATGCCTATATATTCATCTGATTCTTACAAACCAGTTGGCCAAAGGTCTACTTCCCCTTCATATGACAATGATGGTTTTAAACAGGCTAATATTCAGGCAGATATGTCTCCTAAATATGAAGAAAAGTTTGAATCAAATGATGATATATGGCTGATGGTATCGGAGATTCCTCTTTTCACTCAACCAACTGCTGCCCCACCACCTTCAAGACCACCTCCTCCTCGACCAGTACATATCCCAAAGTCGGGAGCGGGTTCATCCGCTTCTGCCAATGTCAGAAAGAAGGATAATGAATTTTCTTCTTTTCCAAGTTCCACTCAATTTTCTCAGGGCCCTAAATCTGCTCCTGCTGCAGCCAAGTTATCTTCTGCATCTCAGTTTGATGAACTTGAAGATTTTGCCACGGGCAGGAATCGTGGTAATGACGATGAACATGGAAATGGTCTTTCTGACGAAGAATTAGAGATGAACTCGGCTGCTGCAGCTATGAAAGAGGCTATGGATAGAGCTGAAGCTAAATTTAGGCATGCAAAGGAAGTTAGGGGGAGAGAGAATACAAAAGCTGCTAAAAGCAAGGAATCTGTGCAGTTGGAAAAGGATGGCAGATCTGTGTCAGAGGATAGAGAAAAACAAGAAAGGTTAGACCATGAACAACAGCAAAAGGAGAGAGAGGAAAAGGAACAAAGAAGACGTGAGAGGGAAAGGGAGGAGAAGGTAAGAGAGCAACAAAGACTTGAGAGAGAAATGGCAAGACATGCTGTAGAAAGAGCTACTAGAGAAGCACGTGAAAGAGCAGCTGCTGAAGCTCGCCAAAGAGCTGAGAGGGCTGCTGTTGAGAAAGCTAATGCAGAAGCTAGAAAGCGTGCTGAAAGGGCTGCAGTTCAGAGGGCACAAGCTGAAGCTCGTGAAAGGGCTGCTGCTGAGGCAAAGGAAAGGGCTGAAAAAGCTGCTGCAGAGGCAAAAGAGAGAGAAGTGCGGGAAAGAGCTGCAGCTGCAAGAGCGGAACCTGAAGCAAGAGTCAAAGCAGAACGTGCTGCAGTAGAAAGGGCTGCTGCAGAGGCCCGAGAAAGAGCTGCAGCACAGGCCCGAGAAAGAGCTGCAGCTGCTGCAAGGATGAACCAGCCACAGAATGACAATGATCTTGAATCATTCTTCAGCACGGGAGCACGAGCTAACAGTGCTCCAAGGCCTCCTAGACCCAGCACTTCAGTGAGTTCCTGTTTGTGTTAAACATTATTTGTACTAATGTATAGTGGCTGACTCTTGGCTTTGGTATTCTGTCTTTTCCCATAACAGGAAATTTATTCTAAAAGTAGGAACTCATATTTAGTAGGTTGCTATTTTGGTCCTTTTCCTTTCTATTGTTAATAAATAAGAAATATAAAAAATTGATGAGTTTTAAAATTATTTTCATGTTGTGAATAAAAACCAAACATCGACTGACATGCATGGTAATGCCAGCATCATACCGTTGTTTTGATTTTTTTTTAATTAATGTACTGGACCTCTCTGCTTTCAGGATTCTCCAAATGTGTCTTCAAGCATGAAGAAAGCATCTTCATCCACTAATATTGTTGATGATCTTTCCTCAATTTTTGGAGGTAGGTTTACGTGTGCAATATAATTTTATTGATGCAAATTTTATTGAAATTTTTGGGTCTCAGAATTTACGAAAGCTCTCTAAACCTTTGTTTCTATGGTTTGAAGCTGCTCCATCATCATCTGGAGATTTTCAGGATGTTGAAGGGGAAAGTGAAGAAAGACGAAGAGCAAGGTTGGAACGCCACCAGAGGGCTCAAGAGCGTGCGGTATGTATTACTGTATTTTCCTCCGTGATTTGATTCCTTCATTTATTATGCTGAAAAAAATAGGTGAATAATGTACTCTTTTCAAACCAACTTGACATTGAATTTATGTGGAAGTATAATAGTATGGTATACTATATACATTCTTAAGAAGAAAAAATTAAATTTTTTGTCTTTGTTACCAATGATCATCATCATTTCACACCAGGCTAAAGCATTGGCTGAGAAGAATCAACGGGACCTACAAAGTCAAAGAGAGCAAGCTGAGAGACATGTAAGTAGTTTTTTTTTCTTTCTTTTTTGTTTCTGGCTGGGAGTTTTCTGTCACAAACTTGCATTGCACTCAGTCACTCACCACATATACACAATATAACCCTTCAACCTTATTGGCTTCTTTATCTCAGTGATGCACAGGACAAGGGTCAATTTATTGTCCAACTTTCTGATTTCCTATTAAGTTGTGTTATCTAGTTTGTCTGTTTCTATTTTATATTAAAACCAGCAGCTTGTTTGGCCTTTTTTTTTTTTTTTTAATCTTCTTTAACAATTAACATATACATATACATCTGTTACTTTTAATTGAAATAGTGCCCTGTTTTCCCCTCTTTACGCACAATAAAGGGGTTCTTTTTATGTTGGATGATGGTGGGTGGTCGGATTTTACTTCTTTGTTAATTTGCCTTGTTTTAATATTTATTATTATCTAATCTTGTCTCTACATTGATTTCAGAGGGTTGCTGAAACATTGGATTTTGAAATTAAACGCTGGGCTGCAGGAAAAGAGGGGAATTTGCGTGCTTTGCTTTCCACCTTACAATATGTATATACTTTGTACATGCACTTCAGATAATCTTGAATTTTTTCTATTCCAGATCTATTTGAACGCCTAGAAGTTTGTTAGCTCATGCTATCCCTTTATTTATTTTAATAATGCTTGAGCCCAAGATTTTATGACATGGCATGCTGGGTCTCGTCTGATCATACCTCCTAGCTTAGTGCATGGGTCTCATCTGACCAAGTTTTTGGTAACAGATTATTTTCAGAAAATATTTTTTTTAAAAACTTAGTCAAAAATTGGAAAAAAAAAGCAATTATTTTTCCACAATAACACGCACTAATTCTATTCTATAGTCTATACTGCAAAACTTATTTTATTGGTTTCATACGAATTGCTCATTTGTCATTACAGGATCACCCACTATTTCAAATTCCTCGTTGAGTATTTATCCATATTAAGATTTTCCAATCAGATCTTACCTAATATTTTAGGCACATTTTTGGCAAAAATGGTTGATTTTGCAAACATTCTAATGACGTACTCGTAATTAATATCTATTAAAGCAAAATCAACTTGTTTCCAAAATTTAATACTTAAGGTTGCTGCTTCTGAATCTTTAACCAGCCAAATGGATCCCTTAATTTGTATATTTTTTTAAAGGTAGCATTGTTTTTCATTTTTTCTTCTATACTTGTGTTTCTTATGTTAACTTGTTTCCTTCATGAATGATGATCAGGTTCTGTGGCCTGAATGTGGTTGGCAGCCAGTTTCTTTGACTGATTTGATTACTGCTGCTGCTGTTAAAAAGGTTTATAGGAAGGCTACATTATGCATTCATCCTGATAAAGTACAACAGAAGGGAGCCAATATTCAACAGAAATATATTGCTGAGAAGGTTTTCGATCTACTAAAGGTATTTCCAGCCTTTTTTTTTATATTATACATACACACTTTCTGATCTATTCAATGCTAAATTGTATAAAATAGAAAAATGATAAGATTAAATTTTTTATTTTATTGAACCACAGTTTTTTCAGTGAGCTTTTTTTGTTTTTTGTTTTTTCTCATCATACTTGCATATGACATCTGTATTGTTGAATGAAGGTTTCGGACGGAGAAATGCTAGTTATATTTTAGCCACTATTTGTTTGCAACACCTTTTGTTATTGGATAAATACTCGAAAGAAATTCACCAAGTATAAAATCTGTAGGAATATTGACCCAGTAATAGAGGGTGTTGAAAGATTGCAATAAAAGCATCACTCATTTGAAAAATGGTATCCAATACACCTTACCACAGGTGTTTACCATACATCTGGTATCATCAAATTTGGCCTCTCTGCATGTTACTGTTAGTCCTGTCAAGGGTGGTAATCATCTTGCAAATTGATTTTGTTCCTACATAGATAACTTCCAAGTAATGTATAGATGCCAATAAACTGTACTAACATATAAGGCCCAAACTAGGGTTTAATTTTGTCACGTGATGTTTCTGATATATATTATTAATAATAGAATTTATGTCAGTCGTACTTTTTTCTAGTTTCAATACTTGAGTGCTTTTTTACATTTAACTAAATAACTACGAGGTTTTTACCTTTGCCTAAAAGTTTTATAATTTAACAGGAAGCATGGAATAAGTTCAATTCAGAGGAGCTTTTCTAATCTCAGAGGAACTTAACTACTTGAAGGTAGTTTTGCGTTGCTCATTCTGTTGAGAGGGAACCACACAGCTGTCTCCCCCATTGCATATATTTGTTTCGATTAAAGTTCTGTTGCATCGATGATAAAAAAAATGATTTCTTGTGTGGAGTCAAGATGCCCAAAGGTTACCCCCTAAGAAGTAATCTTCGGTGTTATCGATGTTATTCCCGGGGGGTGTTGGGTTTATACCAATGCCTAATGAATGCAATGTTTTGTTGTAAAATATCTTTTTTGTGGAGTTGTCAATTCAATTCATTATTTCTGTCGAGTGAGAGCTCATGAGCAGTCTGTTTCTTTGGTCGTTTTTCCAATTTTATTACTTGTGATATAGTATATAGTCTCCTGAATATATGTTATTCCTTATTGTGGATTCAAATCAGAACGTGGGAACATTTCATGGACCTCCTTCGCACGAGCTTCTGTATTTTGTAATAGCAGTTTTGATTTCAAACACCAAATATAAAATTGTTTGCCATTTCTGGTTTTTATTCTACCATGTTCGACAAGTTTAAATGCTTCTGAAATCTAAGTTTGAAGTTTATGACTTTAATTAGTTATGATAAAGTTTCATACAACTTTGTATTTCAATTGATACACATCAGTTCGTACTTATGTTTGCATTAGAGGAAGATTAAGGTGTGCGGAATATGAAAGTGACTCGAGCTATTGCTGAACAGGGATGATAAGTGAATATTTTTCAATTAAGTGCTTGAAGATTGCAATAAGGATGATATTGAAATAGTATTTACTCATATAAGATATAAAAACAACCATCACTGCCCACAGAAGTTTCTAGCACCAACTGGGGGGTTGTGGATGAGGTTTAATAGTCTACGCTGAACGGTTTGTATTTCTTTAAGTCAAGCACGATACTAGCTATTGAGCCAATTGCAGCCGCTAGTGATACAATGAAGGAAACAACACTCAAGGTTTCCATAGCAATCCATTTCCCACTCCACTTTGAGATTCTCTTTTGTTTGATAATCATTTGCACCGGGAAAAAAACAGTTAAAGGCCAAAACGACAGTGCTCCAATAAGTCCCAAAATGTCATTGAAGAATGGAAGCAACATTGCTATAAGAGTGGTTAAGATAACAAACACCGTTCTCCAAACTAATCTAAATGGGCTTAGATTGTATAGAGAAAAACCAAGAATTTGAATTTTGTAGTTAATGTCAACTATGGGCCATCTTTTTTCAGCCCGTTTCTCGACGTCGGCAAAGATGGGCTGGACATACAGCTGGTATGCCCCCACAAGGTGAATTACGATAGCAGCATTAGCAATATCTACAAGCCAATATGGGTTATAAAAACCAAATCCAGTGAGCAGGTTCCCAGGTGCTGTGTCTCCAAAAGCAGCATAACCCATGAAGCCACAAAGCATATAAAATGTTGTGGTTACTCCAACACTTATTTTAGTTGCCTTCTTCATTGTTTTTGCTTCAGATGGTGGACATTTTATGGTGTCCTGTGTTGTTTGAATATTATATATTAATTAGTTTCTGATAAAATTCTCAATTTTTTTTTTTTGTTTAAGCAGAAGAATAAAATGGGGTACCTGAATTTCAAGGAGGATTTGAGAATACGAATAGGCGAAGGCTATGTCACCTAGACCTTGCAAAACCCCCCATACTTTTTGGGCCTCTGTCACAGTTCCAACGGGTACTCCTGTGATACTGCCCTTGAAGGTACCACTTTCTGTTACTTTTAAGCAAGAAATATTAGCCAATATTTTTTTAATTAAAAAAAGTAATTATTAAAAAAATAAAAGGTTAATATAACCTGCAACTTTGGCAATTCCAAGAGCGAGGCCAATTACGGAATAGCCAAAGGACATGACTGCTGCAACTATCGAGAGCCACCATGTTTCATGAAAATCTGGAATTTGAGATAATAAAATTTCGATTATGCCAAAACTGATCATGTAGGGGTTGCTTGAAAAGTGGCATGGATCCTTTCCACCCGAGGAATGGAAACAGTTGGACCTTTTTATCGCCCTGTCAACCAAAACCAGTTAAATTGAGACAAATCCTTCTTCTTAAAAAAAAATAATAATAATTCTTCATTGGAATTGAATTTCATGCACAACAATCAATTGAGCTTGACTCATTGATAAACAAGTCCCTTACTACCGTATTGAACTAGACAGTCCAATTTTTTGCTTGAATAATATTTTTAAATTTTTTTTTTATCCAAATAGCATTTGTTCCAATTTATTGATTACACTAACATTGTTGACTGTTCAAGCTAAGAATTCGGTTTTCGGAAAATCGAATTCTGAGCTTCTCCGTCGCAGGTTGTGGTCATTTTCGCTGTCGGAATTCGATTCCCAGAATAATTAATTTAATAAGTTATAATTAGAACAAAATTTAAATGTAAAAAATAATAATTTTAGGTAGTTATATTTATAATAAATTTTGAATTTAATAAATAATAATTATAATAAGTTATATTTAAATTAATTTAGGGTTATAATAAATAATAATTATAATAAGCTCTATTTATAAAAAATTATAAAATTAATAAAAAAATATTATAATTAGTAATATTTATGTGTTAAATATATTATTTATAGTTTTGAAATGTATTATTTATAACTTATATATATTATTACATTTAAAATTATTTTGAAAATATTATTGAAATTTAATAAATAATTTTTATTTATATTTTTTTTAAAATAGAGATTTAAATTTGTAAACAATTTAATAAATATGTAATTATTAAATAATAAATTATATTTTATAATAAAATACAAATTTTAAAAAGTTAATAAGTTATAATGTTAATACGTAATAAATATTTAATTCTTACATATTTTATAAAATTGTTATTTATTTTAATTTTTTTATTAATATAACCTAAACCAAAAATATAAAAAAAACAAACAAAAACAAAAATAAAAACAAAAACGCCGCTCAAAATTCGGTTCCCCGGGAACTAGGGATGACAAATATACCCGTACCCGCGGGTAATACTCGAACCCGTCCCGACTTTAACGGGGAATACCCGGTTTCACCGGGTACGGGTAAAACTCGATATATTAAATCGGGTATCCCGTACCCGTACCCGTCCCCGTTCTCATTTTTAATTTAATATTCACTTTTAATTTAATTATATTAAAAAAAATTAATATTTTTTATGTGTAATTATTTATTATAATATGAGATAAAGAAATAACCTAATTATAATTATAATATAATAAAAAAATAATTTAAAAATATCATTTTTTTTTACAAAAACTAAAAAAATTAACGGGTACGGGTACGGGTATACCCGATACTCGACGGGGACGGGGATGAGGATGAAAATTTATACCCGAAGGGTATGAGACGGGGACGGGAATGAGTTTAACTCGCGGGGACGGGGACGGGTATCATGAAACCCGTACCCGACCCGCCATGTTGCCATCCCTACCGGGAACCGAATTTCGGCAGCAAAAATGACCACAACTTGCGAAGGAGAAACTCAGAATTCAGTTCTCCGAGAACTGAATTCTGAGCTTGAACAGTGAATAATGCTAGTCTGATAAATAAATTGGAACATATATTATTTGGGTAAATTTTAAAAAAAAAATATTATTCCAGTAAAAAATTCCTAGACAGTCAAACCAGTAAAAATAGTCAAACGAGATAATTCCATAATTATAAATAAATATTGCAGCATCACTATGAATGAGATAATTTTAATAAAAACATGAAACCCTATTCGTATTCTATGTTTTTAAAAGTTCAATTTTTATACATGGTTAAGTATAAATATAAAACAGTTTTACAAGTCATCTAATTAAAAATTATAATTAATATAATTATTATAAAAGTTAATAAATTTATTAAAAATGACAGTTTTATAATTAAATAATATTTTTTATTAGTCATAAAAATTGAATAAAATCTACTAAAATTAATTATTATTTTTTAAATCTATTAAAACTAAAACTTATTTTTCTAGTTTCTAAATATTTTTAACAAATTAAATTAATTTATAAGATCTATAATTTGAAGATAATTTAATTGCGGACTCACATCAGGCTAATAGAACCCGCAATTGTATATCCTATGGCAGTCCCGTAAAGATTTGCGTACTGACATATCCCACAAAAAATATCATAATACCCACCTGCAAAATACATTATATTTATAATTATAATTCATGTTACATTGATTCCATTTCAAAGGGGAAATATTCTTTTAACAACAAAAGTCACAAATGTACAACACAATATCCTCCGTTTGATTTTAATGTGTATTTGCTACATTCATTATAAAAACAAAAAATTAAGATTTTTATATATAATACTCCCTTTCCTTTATAACAAGTGTCATCTTATTGTTTTTCATAAAAGACAAAAAAATTAATAAACAGGAGAATAATAATTCCATGAAATTGACTTTATTATTAGTTTTCTAAAATGATAAACTACAACAACAATTTGCTAAATTACTTTTACACTTTTTTTATATATTTCTCTACATTGATTTTTTTTAGAATTTTTTTTTTATTTTACATTTTTTAATTAAAAAAACTTAAAATTACATTTATTTAAAATAATTCAACAGATTGAACCCCGAAACACTTAAACTCGGTGCAATGAAATGATGTTATCAACTTATGAAATAGCAAAAGTATAAAATAACATAATGTATATATTAATGGGTAGATGTATATTACCAGTACCAAGAATGGACTGAACCG